TAACTCCTGAAAGCACGTACGTGGTGCTGGGATCTGCAGAGACCAGCTGGGTGACCTGAACACAAAAGAGAAATCATCGTACGTACATAACGTCAACAGAACTGAAAATGCCCGTGTTGCACAGGTTTAGCAACAAAATTCATTAGCGATCACAAGTCACGGCCGTAAAAATCTAGAGAGTTCTACAAATATCTTCTTTCTCGCCAAGCGCTGCCGTGTGCAGCGTTAACAAGAAAACTTTCAACGGTTGAAAGAAATGCCAGTTCTGTTTCAAATCACCACCAAGAACATCACACTTCCTTTCTAGCCCCCAAATTACAGCCACTGACCCAGTCACAGCTACTTTCGTAATCTTTCACACTCCTAAGAGTTTACCAGCATTAAAAGCTGCCGACCATCACTCCAGGTGCTCAGTTGATGCCCCATACAAATGGGATCTGTATGCAGCATCTAAGGCGTTTTTAAGCAGCATTTAAGGCAAGAGATCCCAATCAGATCAGTTGTTCAACCCAGAGAGGAAAAAGGCACTACTCTGAAATTATCAACAATTTTGAGGAGATGAAAAAAAAAAAAAAAAGTTTTAGAGATTATAGCAGCCTGAATCTGATGGCAGCCAGGAGGCTTGCCTTAAGTTCTTATCAGGCATCTTAGTTCAAGACTCACTCAGATAAATAACCACACCACCACCTCAGTGCTGTGCTCCTTCCTGCTATAAATTACCTCATCTATTTTTCATATTCCTAGCACTTTTTGGACTGTGCTGCAAGATCTGCAAGAGATGCGTTTTAACCTCTGCTACTCAAAGACAGGAGCAGCTTATGAACCCTGGCTGTGTAAAAAAAAAATTCAGTATTAAATTTCTGTTGCCCAAACCATGAAGCTATTTACTGAAGCTTTATACAAACTAATTAAATATAAGGCTCTCGTGGGACATGAGGAGAAAGAAAAGAAGAATTAAGAGATAAATCACTGGGTTTTCTTTCCTCAGCAAATGTACACTCCGGTTTGGTACATTAAACCAAAGAAACAGTCTGACAGTCCTTGGTCAGGCACAGATAGGCAGCATCCAAACCTCACATGGAACACACTGCACAGCATAAATTAATTATCCCCGCTTTACCGCAACTTGCACAAAGGAATTGGGAGAGACAATCCAGACAAGGGGATGAGCTTGAGATATCAAAGGCTCCATATGGAGACCACAGAATCTCACTTTCCAGCTTCACAGAACTCGCAATCTTTGTGAGCACATGGTACAGAAACGTATCAAAGCGGCACTTCCCTCTCCTGCCGACCCCATGTCATCTTGTCAGGAGAACTCCTACGCGTGACACGCAGCCATTTCAGAGTTTCCTCAAAGACAGAGGCACTCTCGACAAGTCTCACAAGACGAGCCCACGAACACTGGCAACCTCTCCTCTCCTCGCCAACAGCGTGCAACCGTCGAGAGCAGACGGCACAGCCAAGCAGCCGAACACAAGGCAGGCTCCGCTTGCGTCATCTGAAGGCAAAAGTCTCAAGGTCAGTGCAGCGGCTGAGGAAAGCCACCCTGTCTGGACACCTCTGCAGGAGACAGCGAGACCCTCCGGATACTAGAGGCCATGGGATCGCTGGCCAATTCAGGTTGGGAGGGAGCTCAGACCTCAGGGCTGTAGCCAGCCCGGTTCCAGCATCCTCCGTGGATGGACGTGCTGCACCAGCACCTACAGACTGCAAAGCGTGGCCCCAACCACACTGCCCAAGGAACTGGGAAGAAACATCACTCCCTCCACGTCCCCTGACAATAAGCTTGATGTGTAAATGGCCTTCATCCTCAGAAATTCATTTCATCCTAATGCTGATCACCCCTGCACGCACAAACGACGGGAAGCACCAACTCCAACCCAAAAGAGTCCAAGAACTGGCTCTTGGAAGAAGACAACAAACACCTACAGCTTATGGTAACAGGAGAAGAAAAAGTTACACCCCATCACCCCTACACAGCAAAATTACCGACTGCATTCAGCAACAGAAAATCAAAAATTCTGCATAACGATGATCTATTAACCAAATTCCTTAAACAGTTTTTCATTAACAACTAAATACTAATAAATTTTTAAACAAAGCTCGTTCCGTAGGTAATAATTTCAAGTGCTTAAGTACGTGTTTGAGGATTAATGGTTTTAAATGAAGCCTCTAAACAGTTTCCAACGCACAGCCAGAGTGGAGCATAAGAAAAAAAAAAATGCAATAAGTTTCTAAATGCCAGTAAAAAAATACCAGAGTTTTCTCATGTCAGAAACAGATGAAACCTTACAATTTATGTAGCACGCCAACACCTGATTCATCTCACTCCCACAGCAACTGCTTCATGGCATCATTTCCCAAGGGAAGAGATAACCCAACAACTCATCATCAGAGTTACCCCCATATCTACACCGTTCCCACAGTGAAAGCCAGAATTTGACCAGGACACCAACAATTTTATCTAAGGACCACGGTATGTTTAAGGATTAGGCAGAACCACACTTTGGGATTTAAGTGTGTCTTTAGTACCACCTCATCCTCCCGCTGTGGTAAAGAGACCAGCACTTCTCTGGAATTAGAGAGGCAAGAGGTCTCACAGCTCACGGGAGCTTTCCTACAGAGGCAGTCACCAGCTGACTCAGAAGGGGTCTATGAGATGTAAAGCAAGTTTCACCAAATTTTAAGGGGAGCGTGTAACTTTGAAGTCTCCCCCCAAACGTAATACCTAAAAGCAGGGCGACAATCCCCATCGTCAAAGCAGCTTGTGAAAGGTTGAAGCTCCCCCCTGTACTCCGAACTAAATGAGGTGATGGGAGAGGGAATTGTGACCATCCTGTCGGGTGTGGTTTTGAGCTGTTTGGCCCACCTACACCTCCCTCTCAAGGGAAGAGCGGAGGATGGACTAACACCTCCCATCAGCCACTTCTGGAGTCCCCAGCACGGGGAAAGCTGAACTGCGGGAGGGATGAACAACCCGAGACAAACCCAGAGCTGCCCTCGCCACTAATTCAGGAAGGAAATTACACAGTTCTGGTCTGCTTAACCTCACACATTTAAGATAGGAAGATTTTATAAGGCAAAAAGCAAAAAAATCAATTCACTTTAGAGATGACATTTACAGGCTATTGACAGGTCTCTGCATAAGCACCTTCAGAGATGAACTGAGTTTTGGCAGCAACGGCCTCCGCACACAGGGAAGGCTCATTGCCAACTCATGAAAAACTTGAGAAGATGCGCTTTACCAATTCTAAAGCCTCGTTTCTTATTTTCCAACTCATGAAAAACTTGAGAAGATGCGCTTTACCAATTCTAAAGCCTCGTTTCTTATTATTGCATCCAGTTCACAAATATTGTGACTACAAGCTTGTATCTATCACACACAGATGGGGTAAGTAATGAAAGAACACAGAAGCCTCTAATTCTACATTGACTTCAATTCCCACTTCCAAAGACAGCTAGAAAACGGGAATAGAAACTAAACTAGTAAAAAAGAAACACGCTCTTCTCCATTTTTAAGAACCCCCAAATTTAAAAAATAATCAAAATAACCCCTTGCCCAGCTTTGTATTTGCTCGGGTAAGCATTTTAAGCATAAATGTGAACCCCACTTCTAGGTACAGAGTAGTAGGGTCAGCATAGGACATGGGTCTTGTAGGACAACATGTTTTAATGATTTGTAACCAGTGAGCAGCCCGCCCAGCGGGAAAAATAGTTAAGTACATAATTACAAAACAATATTTTAATTGTCAGTTTTAATCTAGGTTTCCTACTCCGATTTAAATCACTTTTTTTTTTTTAAATCGCATTGATTTAACTCAATCAACCCTGCCCGAAGGCCATCTTTCCTGCATGCTCTGAGCATACCAAGCAAGTTTTAACCGATTAGATAAATCACTAAATCTCATAACTTCCCAACAGCAATATATCAAGCCATACACGAGCCACAGTTATTTTTTTTTCAATAAAAACTTGGCAAAAATAAGCAGCTAAATAGACATTTCACCATCTTCTTTTTTTTTTTTTTTTTTTAGCCAACTGAATTCTGCAGACTTGCACGATCATTGCAAATATGCTTCTGACTCTTCATCGCCTTCCTTACGATGATGGGAGTAACACTAATGCGGTAGTTTTATTCATTTATATATGCATGCATACATATGTGTGCATTCACACACACACACTGCAACCTTAAGGTGTTACACTCAAGAGCACAGTAAGGAAAACCAGGCAGTAATATTATGGACTCACCAAGAGCAAAATCCTGAATAATGGAACTTTCTAGCACAAACAGCTTTGCAGGGACCCTTGGCACAGTCCCCATTACTACCAGTGGAAATATGCTCTTCTGACACTGCACAGATTTTTTTTTTTTAAAGATTCCCATGATAGGAAGGGGATTAAAAAGCAATTAAGTGGGTCTCATATTTCAAATGCAAAGCCATTATTTCAGAACAGCAGACAGAAAAAATATGGATCTCTCAGAACTCAAAGATTTGTTATATTTCGTAAAAAAAAAAGCCCTTATCATGATACCTTAAAACGGCAATGACATAGTAGAAACCTACCCCACGGGGAGGAATAAAAAGCATTGCAAACCCGATCCAGCATTGTATTACGAAAAAGCCCTGCAAATTCCAGGCAATCTGCAAATGATTTTCCCCTTCCCCACCCAAACATCTACCGCAAACTCCTACAACCGCAAGTCAGGACTGCAATGGCAAAACAGACGAAAATAAAACCATTCCTACCTTTAACTTGAGTGTCATATTCAGCTATGATCTCCTTATCCTTTTTGAATTTTGCTGGCGACGTCATGTTTTCTTTTCCAAAAAGATTAACAGATCCACCAGAACACAAGATATAAATGCAATTTCGCTCCTCTCAAACGCGACGCCTTGATTTTCCGTTTGTCTTCCCACCCCCCACCCCCCAAAAAAA